GGTCGTGCTGGCAGAGATGGCTGCCAAAGTCACGATCTTTTGTTAACATACCCTGGCTGCATGCAATCTTAAAATGTTACAAAAGAAATGAAAGTATATATGAATGGATCTACATGCTGCTGTAAAATGGTCATGGCAACTTTTCCTGGTAATTATGCAACATTGAATCCAAGACATCTGTGTTGCGATATTTGTAGACAAACTTGCAGCGGTCAGAGTTGTATGGTATTGGATATCAACCAGACGAGATCTTATTTGGAAAATAAATTTGAAGATAGGCTAGATATTGTTTCAAAAGCGAATGCATGTGCTATTGGGAACCACATTGGGGTTGAAGGGCAGGCCTTCTTGAAAGCAGAGCTTGAAAAACTTGGCAGTAGTTTGTTACAAAATAAAAACACACCTTTACTCACTGGTTCCGACCTAGCTACAGGGCTACGAAAAGCTACAGTTAAGCAAATTGTTGAACATTGTAATGGGATCAAGCCTAACACATTTGAAAGTGAGTTGCAGATTACATTGATGAACTTATTCAAAAGATTTCTAGTGGTGAAAAAAACATCTGATAGGTAGGATGCTTCTGCGATGGACGATGAAGAAGATGAAGATAATATTCAAGATTTATGTACACAATTTGATGACAGTATTGTGCTAGACAATGAGTCTGACAGCAATAATTCTGAAGGCTCAGATGACTCTTTCATTAGTATTTGATATGTTCAGCAGAGATTTCACGCCACAATTCATCATCCTTCAGTGAGGATTCAGACTGACTTGATTATTCCTCCCAGGGGATAGGGCACTTAATCAGTTTAGGCTGAGGAGGTGCCATTCACGTTTGGAAAAGTATGTTCGGAAATGTATACCCAATTTTACTAATTCTCAGAAATGTATTGAATTTATGCCTTTTTTGCACCGAAACTGAAAAAAATAATCCCATTCCCTATACCAAAATATTGAAAATTGATACCCTCTCTATACCAAAATCATGAACATTGATACCCTTCCCTATATCAAAATTGTGAAATTGATACCCTTTTGGGAAGCATTTCCCCAGTACCTAAAATATACAGAGTGCTTCCCAGGTTATTCATTTTGTAAAAATGACAAAAAACATCCAATGTCCATGACAATTTTCATCAATTATCATGTATGTACTTTAAAAACCATCAAATTTCGCATTTTTAAATTTTCCAAGGAGAAGATGCATAGCTGTCTGACAGGACTCTCGATATCAAAGATGCTTTCCAACTTGGTGATTCTGTCAGTCTGTATCTTGTGGTAGAGAGATGTCAGGTTGGTTTGCAACTGTTGGCTCAGCTGTCGCAGGTCTTTCAAGCAATCATCTGGTGAACATGCTTTCCATACAACTGTTTTTTCTTTTTCTGCCTTTTCCCTCTGTCACCTGTCTTAGCCTCACCCTTACTCGGTCCTCTCATCTTCCACCATCTATCTAGGATAAACTTCAATTCCTTGAAACGTGCAGTTCTTAATTTCTTCCCTTGTCAACTCTTACGAATGCTCTGCGAGCTAAAGTGCCACTTTCTTGTCTGGAAATAGCACTTTTCCGATTTATAGTTTTGTAACCGATCTTCTGTCTTTGATAGCATGCTACAATCTTCCAAGTACGTACAGACAGTGCCTGACTTTTGACAATTAGTGTGACAGCAGGCTTCATCACGTCTATCATTCCACACAGAATAGTGTTGTCTGTGCACTTGATATTTTATCTCTTTGCATTCATCGCCTCCATCTTCTCGATTCTGTATAAAAGACTTAATCATAGATTCATATCTGGCACAGATGTTATAGAACTGTTCAAATGAAGATCTTGTGAATTGTGTTGTTGCGTATGTGACCGTTTCTAATGCTTTCAGTCTGAGAATCTTTGCAAAGTCTTTGTATTCTGCATGCCCACTGCCTTTTCCGAACATTTTGTGCATTCGATTCGAGCGTTATATCAACAACTTTATGAATTCTGATGACTTGGAATTTTCACGAAGCTCTTCCATTGCTAAATCCATCCAATGGGATACATCCCATGGCAGAAGAAAGTAAGGATCTGGCATCTCTTTGATACCCAATAACCCAAGCATCGTATTCTGAAATATGCTAGCCTGGTACTGGCCATTAGCAAGGATTCCTAATTGAGAAGAAAAACAAAATTTAATTGTTAGTCAAACTACTATTTTGTTCTTCTGAAAATGCAGTGTCTCAAAAGTTAGTAATATTTGTAGATCAATTCAATCAAAAGTAGCTGAAAGAGAGGTAGTATTTTGATTATCAAGAGATTCATTGTTTTATAATAAGGCAAATCATTAAATAGAAAATTAAGAGCTGCAAAATCATCTTAGCAAAGAGGTTCAGTCCATAGTTCATCCTGTGGGGCTATAGAAATTTTAATTAAAAGCCTGCACATTTGAAACAAGAAATCTTACCTCGCAGAAATTCGGTGTAAGTTCTCAAAACTTTAACAACATGGTTTCCTAGTTCTTTTCCAGAACCTCCATGAATAATTGGATTCATTCTTTCTTGAGTTTCTTGATATCCATTTACTAAGGGGCATCAATTGGCATTCTATTCGTCTCCCGCTTGAACAATACACCTATTCGACATAAGCTGCAGCCATTATGAATAAATTTGCGCGCAGAGTCTGGGACCTAGTTTAGTGGGGTAAAAAACGGCCTGTTGCAAGGAAACACATAAATCATTGAACGTTCGCGACTGAGCTTTCTCGGTAAAATGGATTTTGACATGGTAGCGAAAATGAAAGTCGAGGAGCTGAAATCGTATTTAAGGATAGGGGACTGAAAGTTTCAGGGAGAAAGGAAGAACTGGTGGCAAGAGTCTTTGCTGCGGCAGAGAACGACGTGAAGCCGATCGAAACAGCCGAGGAGATTGAGCAAGAGATGCAGGACGAGTACATGAGGAAACTTGTCTTTAAAGACTACGTTATCCCAGATCCGTTTCATTTGGATGGCTGGTTAACGGAGGAAGAAGCCATTCGTCTTCGGCCTAACATTTTGTACCCAGATATTTTCAATTTTTTGATGATAAATCCCAGTGAAGTTAGAGCTGAAGACTTAAATGATTATAAAAGCTCAAAGGCCTATTCATATTTTACAAATGATTGGCTTGGTCCTATCAGTTACCATCAAATTGATGAAAGCAGCAACAACTGTCTTTTAAAGTCTGACTGTCGTCCCTCTGAAAGACTTAATGATCCTGCACACAAGCTGTGGCTATGTGTAGAGAAAAATCTGCTAAAGTCAAGAGTGCTCATTGCACTTGCATGGCTGGGATGTCCCAGACATGCAACCATGTTGCTGCTGTTCTGTTTAGGGTTGAGGCTGCCATCAGACTTGGTCTTGCAAATCCTGCCTGCACTGCCATGCCCTGTGAGTGGTTACCAAACCGTGCCACAAAGCCGGTCCCAAAGCCAAAGATTACTGCTATAGAAGATGTAATTGTGTCATTGGCACCAAAGCCAGACAATAACGTAAGCATTGATGATGTTTTGATGGTCTCAAAAAATGCCAGAAGCTTTTTCCAGAATATTTCAGAAAGCATGACTCTTGAAAATATTGAGAATATTGAAAATCTGACAAAGGGGCAAAATGATAATAAAAATTGGCATATATACAGAAAGTATGTTATCACAGCATCAAAATGTCATGAAGTAGTGACCAGAATGAGAAAAGTGAAGTATTCTGGGGTTGCTCATATCAATTTATGGTCTTTATTTCAAAGGATATCTGGGATGACATTTGTAAATCCAGACTTGCCAGCATTAAAATATGGACGTTCAATGGAAGTCCATGCAGTGAATGCTTTCCAAGAACATCTTAAAACCGTGCACAATGATGTCAAAATAGAAGAGTGTGGTTTATTCCTGTACCGGAAACATCCATTTATTGGAGCAAGTCCAGATAGATTAGTAACATGCTCTTGTTGTGGAAAAGCATGCTTAGAAGTCAAATGCCCCATTTCCATAAGTCATACTTCACCTCAAGACATACATGTAAATTTGCCATACCTACAGAGAGAGGATGGAGTGCTAAAATTGAAACAAAATCACAAATACTTCTCTCAGTGTCAAACCCAGATGGCAGTTACTGGTTTGAAGAAATGTTACTTTTTTGTTTGGACTTCACATGGGTACTTCATTGAGGAGATCAAATTTGCATGTGATTTCTGGAATGAAGTAGAGCAACTACTCATTGACTTTTACAATAACTATTATATTAAGTCATTCTATGGTTTAAAGTTGCTAACATTTTCTTCTAAACATTCTCTGTGATTAATAGTAGAGAATTTGTCATTTTCTATTTACATTTTTCTGGAAAAAGATTACATTAGTAAATAGATGATTTGATTTCTCGTGATTTTGAAAGACAATCTTTATTTTTGATTGAAAAATAACTCTTTTTGAGTAAAGGAAGTCAGAAAAAAACGAGCATTAATAATAGGAGCAGAATGCTGGAAATAAAAAGTTGGACATATTAAATTTTTCATTTAATTTAAATCGACAATCAAACAGAACAAAACTGAAGACAATAGCTAGGTCACATTATTTTTAACATAGGCAGTATTTATAGAACCACTGGAAGGGAAAATTGCAAAATACACTTAGCAAACTTTTAACATGTTCTATGATCTGGAACATATTTGCTTGGAATAGGATTGTGAAAATAAAGGGATGTGGGGAAAACTTAATTAATACCAATGTGGTACTTAGAGCTTATAAAAGTATCCATCTGGTTGTCTTTTTGCATTACCTTTCAATTTTTTTACTCTATATAAATCCCAAAGTAATGAAAATTACCATTTACTGGTCTGTCAGAAAGTTCTTGATACCATATAAGTAAAGCTGTGCATGCTATTTGGTGTATAGAACAGGACAGTTCTAAGTAAATTTGAAAGTAGTATTATGAATATAATAATTTTCTCAAAAAAATGAATGGTTAATGAATGTTAATGTTATTGTAAAGAAATCTGAGTCATTTGGTTTTCCAGTTTATCAATGGCCGTTTTAAATTGCACAAGGCTGCACATGTAAAAATGATGTCATCTGCATGTTGAAGCATGGTAATTGGCAAGTTTGACCTCAAAATTCTAAATGTTTTCATGCGATTTATAGCACGCTCCACATGAATCCTCAAGTTAGCTATGTCCTTTGTTGTTTCACATTCAGTTCTTGTCATTTGAGCTTTCATCCTTGCACCCGGTGGAACACTTAGAGAGCAGTGTCTTAAAAAAAGGTCTTCTCTTATCTGGAAACCTCTGTCTGCCATTATTTCATCAGAAGGCTCCAGCAGGTCAAAGAAACCACTATCTTTACAAATGAATTTATCACTGGCTCTTCCACCATAACAGTCAGACAAAAATGTTATATACCCAGTTGGAGATATCCCAACTAAAAACTTGACTGTGTTATGACTCTTGTAGTCTGACCAGGTGATGGCTTGTGCAAAAAGGGATTTAGGTCTCTCAATGAAGATTTCTGAGCAGTCAATAATTGCACGAACTTTTGAATGTCCAGCCTTCTTGAAAACATTGGGCATGTGCTCTTGTATAGTTTCCCTTGGAAGCCATGCAACCATACAATGTCCTAGAAGTTTTCTAAGCAGCTTGATCCAAGTTGCAAATGTGTTTGAGGCTATTGCTGAGGAAACACCAAAACGATCAGCAACATCTTCATTAAGCAACCCAAGCCTAAGCCGCATTAGCACCATCAAAAACTCATTTTTGTGGGATAGTTGCTTCATTGGTGAAGAAATAAATCTCCTTTTGACCTTGTCTGCTGTCCTTTGACCACGCCAGTACTTCAACTTTGGAAGATATGGTCGCAACATTGAAAAAATAGCATTGAAGATAAGGATTGTTGGCAGTCCAGTATAAAAATTCATTTTCTTATCTGTTTTTATGTCATGAACACCGAAAGGCTGCCTACTCCCCACTGGCTTTTGACGTATCATTTTAAGTTTTTTGTTTTCTTTTGTCAGAGCTGCAATTTTCTTTGAAAGTGAGCGAATCACTGTGCTTTTATCTATACATGCTTCACAATGGCCTCTCTCTTCCGAACCCAAATAAACATGGTCCCCTTGAACTGCCTCATCATCTGGTTGAAATGAAGTGGAAGGTGCACTTACAATTTCCTGGTCTTTTTGCTCTGTAATTTCTGTAGCGATGGCTTCCACTTCAGATTCAGTGCAACTTGGTTTTTTTCCTTTTTCAACAAACGGCTTTCTCTCCACTTTTTTCCTGGGCCTAGGTTCCTGGGGTTTGGTGTAACCCATTTCCAAGACCGGGTCGGAATTTGCAGCTGTCGGTATTCCATCAATAAAATGAGCTGAGCATACTCTGTCACTATTGCAAGGCGACCAAGGTTTTTGCCCTTTTTTTCTCTCTTGACAGCCTTAATCCATCGATCTCTTTGCTCCTTGTACCTTTTCGGGCCTGGAAAACAATACAAACGGAAAGGTTCTGGGCATCCGCAAGCTTCGTGTTGCTGATGCTTGTGCGTCTCGCATAGAGACTTTTTCCATTTCACAAGGCGATAGCTGCTATTAGCACATCCTATAACAGCACAGTTGCTCTTTCCCATCTCTGACCTGTAGCTTCACGCGAAATTCTCAGCACAAATAAGTTAGACTTCGAGCAACCACTACTAGTCTGTCTAGCGATGGCTGTTTTATACCCCACTAAAATAGGTCCAAGACTCTGCGCGCAAATTTATTCATAATGGCTGCCGCTTATGTCGAATAGGTGTATTATCACGAATGCTTGATTGGTGTCTCGATGTGCAGTGGATTTGTCAATTGCTATAGAAAAGTGTAGTGGTTGCCCAGTGTTTTCCAGATGCTTATGCATATACAGTGCTGTTTGATTCAGTACATAAATGTAAGCAGCTTTCACAATATCTGGAAACTGGTTTCTGAAACGAAAAAAATACTGACATGTTGATTTGGCTGCCATATTTGAATGGTCTGATTGTCCTCAGGTTGTTTAAAATTAGAGCTTACATTGGGCAACTGTGTGCTGTGTCAATAAGTGATTAAGTTTTACTTGATGGAAAATTGTGTTTATGTTGATAAGGATTAGATAATATGTTAAGAGTGCATGCTAAATATGTTGAATCAAATTTTGGCTACCTGTTTGAACATAAGATAATGAACGTACATTGCTGTCTTCATATTCATTACGTTGGGTTGAGCCCTTTCAAAATTATATCACAAAAAATGCAAATATAACAAATATATTAGTTGACTTCAAAAATGCAGTGCACTTCTACACAGTTGAGCATAACATGAGATGCTAAATTCGTAAATACCTGCCATGACCAATGTTTCCAACACTGGCCTGAAAAAACGAAACCCGGCAGACTTTATCTTACAAATTTTTATTCCTGCAGCAAAAAGACTGTTGAACTGCAACTTGGATGCTCATATAGCCTGCTTTCAAAGCTGTACCATTCCTGAGCTGACCCCTGCATGAACTTCTCAGTTCGAAGAAGATTGTTGAAGATACCAAGATAAAATAAGAGAAGTGAGAAAGGTTGACTAAAATCCCTTGATTTACCTCCTTTTCCCATTCTTGGTAGAACGTGCTCAGTTGTCAAAAAGCAAAACCACCTTGGACAAGAGCAAGCAGTGACGAGGTGAATGAGACGTTGCTCTTACATCTGTACCATGTTTCATTAGTACAGTTTCTAGCTACTTTTCCTTCACCAACTTTTGAGTTTTGTATGGTTTTGTAATCATGAGATTAGGGTAATCGGGTTGTTGCCGGATCCACTAGTGAGAAGCTCAAACACCACATCAAGGAGCATTTGTTTGAGTTTTCCTTATGGTGTGAAAACTGCCGATTTTTTAAGCATTTGAATGAAGCAAGAGGGAAATCTACGAGAGTGGGTCACTGAAATATGAGAGCTTAAGGGAAATTTTGCTTGACTGCGATAATCACTAAGAAGAAGATATATGTTTCTCTAAGCAACATCGAGAAACATGTCAAAGCAAAACTCATGAGGGTAAATATTGATCTAGATTTGTTTTAAAAGGTAAAAAGGAAAATTTAGTTAGGGAGTATGGATTGAAATTGTATTATAAATATCAGCTATGTACTATAAATATGTGATACAAAGAAATACATAGCTGAGTTATAGAATGGGCTATATAGCAAAATCAATAAAGAATGAAAAACAATATACTGGCGTTTTATGTACATGAATATTTACAATTATCAGCGAATTCATATTTAAAATGAAACAAGTTCACGATTTTAAATCGTAAATGAATTTGTTTGATATTGTAGGCAAGTACATAAAAAACTCATGTTGAGCAAAGTACTTTATAAGTCAGTCTGAAATGCTGTGAATGACGAGAAAGGTAGAGAAAGTCATGTACCAGTGGTGAAAAATATTGAGAATGTATGGTATATCAGTAAGTTGTGTATACTTGGTGGATCTAAGAGCTCATTTGTAGGCACGGACCTGCAGCATGATATAGCAAGTTGAGTTGCCTCTAATCACGTCAGATCCTGGTGGCTCAAAGTGGTGCACCCTTCCATTGGATAAAAAGATTCCAGAGAAATTATAGAAGCTCATTAAGAGGCACTTTAGTGGGGCATGAAACAAACAGAAATCTTAATGTAGACATACCAGATCCAAGAAATTGTCTGTTCAGTTATCTACGTTAGCATTTTAAATAAAAAAGCTTGAATCAGGCCAGTAGTTCAATAATGGATAATGGATGGCGTTGAAGATCTGCGAAGCTTCTTCCTTTCCTTGAATAACTGTGTGTGTCAAATCACAAGGATATTAAGTAACCCTGGGAACTTTGATTTACACTACGCAGACCAATTAGAGAGTTTGCAGGCCACTGTACTTGGGAATGAAGATGCTCCAATCAACATTCTTTTGACACAGCTTACAAGATCGCTTTGTAGTCTCCTTGAACAAGTTGTCATCCTGAAGACAAGATACAGTAATCCAAACCCTATTACTGGGTTTGTCTTGTCGACTATTTTTACGGATTGTTGACCAAGATTCAAAATTTCATTTAAGAACTGATCACTAACAATCATGATTTCAAACACATGTCAATAATTCTGGACAAATGAGGAGAAGTCGGTGGAAACAACTAGTGTCCAAAGGAGCAGAAGAATAGCGGCAATGGATGCAGGAGCAAAGGTCAGCACAATGGCAGATGATGTAAGTCACGACTTGTCGGTTTAACGAGGGGAGTGTGTGCTGAATCAGAAGACGTGCAGGATTGCAGCGAGAAGGCGAGCTTCACAGCATATATGCTACAGAGGTGTAAATCGAACTATGCATTTGGGACACAATTGAACAATGCATGTAACAAACTCGTTGAAGTTATTGTTTTGGCTTATGTAAATTTATTAACAGAACAATTAGTGTGTCCCTTTGTAAAAACGTATATGAAGGGAGTTTCGCTCATTTTTAACCAGTTCTTGTTTTGAAGCCCAACAGACACATGAAAGTCTCGTCAAGTAAAGACAAACTTGACTCAATGTGTAAGAGGTCGTGAGTACACCTTTATTGTATATGCAAAATAAGGGTGCATAGGATAATTACACATATACAGTTGGTATCTGAGGTATTGTAGGCTAAGCGACGCTTACCTATCTTTGTTGTAAGGAATTACTATGGAAGATGGTTATTCGTAGAGCATTTCTAAGAATCTATTTATCTTATATCTGTTAAAGTATATTAGTGATTTGTGTGCATTCATACAATTCTTTTCTTACTTAAGCAAGTAAGTAAGGCCATCCACGTGTGTAATCAGGTTTCTTACAGGAATCCTTCAGTAGCACTTCAAGTTGCACAAGTTTGCTTACAGCTGGTAGATACCCCCGTAATCTCGGAGTAATACCTTATGGTCTTTGGGTCCACCAAGTTGTTGTGGAAGTCGTATTTTATTACAATATATTTGATTAGCTTTCTGAACTTGTATTTAGTGTGCTTTAACTTTATCAGTATTAACGTATATAATCCTTGCTGTTGAGACATGAACAGTAAGCCATTGTTTCACTAATAAATTTTGTGGTTATATTTCTAGTTATTCTTTACCGTGCAAGGCTAGGGTTAGCCATAGGGAATTCGTCCTTGCGCTTAGGAAATTATTATTACTGTTTGTTTTGTACAGTCCTCTTTTTTAAGGCTATTGGTCAAAGTGTCAACCCCCCTAGATTCCTGACAGAGCCAATTTTTTCTAATCGAGGTTAATACACCTCTTTTCCGAGGCTAATCTGCATACTCTACCGTAGTGCCACTGGGGATGGAGATCATAATGATCAAGAAGACAACCATCAGCAGTATGTTGCGCCTTTCATTTCTTAAACGAGACAAACGGAAAGTCCCAGTAAATTATGCAAATTAAAATGAAAGTCCTTCCGACGAAGAGCCAACATCAGTGATAGGCATCAGAGAAAGTTGTGGGGATGATAGCTCAGTAGGTGCAGGTGCTCCACACAGCTCCGTCATCGATTTCAAGGTTGTGGATAAACATGTTATACAACACAAGTGTATAATGAACAATTAAAACTTACAGATCATTCGTCTCTCATTGTGTTCTTTAACCCAATTTAAATGCTGTTTATTTGACACGATGCCTAATACAGAAATGTCAAATCCAAAATTAGTGTATTACATGTTTGCAGATAAAAATCAAGCAGTTCCTCAAATATTAGCACCGTATTAATACCAGCAAAAAGGGTGTAGTGTAAACGTTCATGTGTATACCTTCTGTCTAGTCAAAAGTATTTTTTATTTTTCCCAAAGGCAACATTATCAAATCTTAATTATGAAGATTTCTTGGATATGGCAGCGAAGCTTTTGAAGACCGAAAATCTTTGCTTATTGGTCTTATAAATCAGAAAATGGCAAATGCAGTGGAGGAAACCAATCAGCCTTCATTCAATTGTGTCCCTTCATGTTGTAAATGTTTGCAGTGCCATGAAATTCCCACCCAAAAGGAGAGAAAATTTTGGAAAAGGCGCATCTGCATTACCAAGGATCAAACATTTTATGAAATTTGTTTGAATGGAATTTGTCATCGATTCTCAATGTGATATTAGAGATGATATACCTAGTCAAAACATGAAAACTATGAGGCATACCACTTACAGACAGTTTATAATGTGGCAGCATGGGCCCTTTGGTGCTGGCAACTGGATGGTAATACCATCATGCTGTGTTTGGAAAATCCGTGACAAACACCCTTCTTCAAACAGTGCTGAGCGTCGATGCAGCTAGAATGGGAATGTTTGCAAGGCC